GAATTTATATCTTAAAAGTATGAATATGATGTCACTGTATATTATAATTTGAGCGAATAAGTATATAGTGTTACTAGTATACAGTCCCGTTCTCTTGGACCCCTGTAGTCCAAGGAGTTCGTGGTCACTCACCCTTGGATCTAATCTAAGGGTGTAGAAAAACTGATTTAAAAATTCATATAATCTAAGGAGTTCGTGATCACTCACCCTTGGTCACACTTTTTGGAATCGACGACGGTAGGTTGTGTAATTGAAGCCTCCCCTCCCTCCACTGCGATGGCAGAATCTGAGGACGAGGGCAGCGGCTACAAGCTTCTTGAGCGACAGAACAAAAAAGCAAGAGGTGTATTCTTTTTTTCTTTTCAGAAAACGTATTTTGGGTAAGTTAAAATAATATAAACATTTATATGGTTTTTTAAATTAATTTTTTCTACACCTTTAGATTAGATTCAAGGGTGAGTGACCACAAACTCCTTGGACCACAAGAGTCCAGGAGAACGGGACTGTACTAGTATATACAAAAATGCCACAATGCAAAGGTTGGGTACGGATGTTTAACATTACAATTTGTTCCCACTTGGAGAGTGATTGAGTAATTAACTCTTAATATAAGAAATTGTCAAGTATAGTCATATTTTTAATTCAACCTATTTTTTTTTTCCAAATTTTTTATTTCAACCAACTCCTTTTGCTAATCTAATTTTTATCAAATATATTGCACTTGCATGGATAATTTGAATTAAAAATAAAAGGATAGTGTAAAGCCAATTTGTTCCCACCACAGTGGTGGTGGATTCCCCCTTCCCCCCATGGCACCCAGGATCGAACCCCAGTGGGGTTTCTTTCCTCCAATGTAACCAAAAAAAAAGAAAATGCTCACCAGTTGCCATCCGAAACTGCTAAGCAATAGCAAAAACAACAACAAAAAGAAAAAAAAGGAAACGAACAAAAAGATGCAAATTCCCAAAAAAGTGTCTAGGTTCATCCCCTGCTTAACCCCAAGATTAGATTAGTAACAGTACCTAATCAACTCTCTATAAATTAAGACCCCAGCATGAAATCTGTCATGCTTTCCAACTCAAATTGCACCATTTCTGAATTTGATAAGATTTCCTTTTGTCCCTACCTGTCAAATTACACTTTCATTCATTCATTTTTTTAATTTACAAAAAATATACCAAACTTTAATCACACACACAAACACTCTCCATTATTATAAACTTATTAAACCCCTAAATTAAATCTCCTACTTTGAGGTTTGAAGCACAGCCAGAGCCAAACAAAAAACCCAGGCCTTGGTTCACCTCTTCAATGGCGTCCATGGCCACCCTCTTCGTCAAAACCCCATCCCCTTCTCCCTCCTTCCCCAAAACGTTCAATACCCATTTCTCCCCTGCCCTCAAGCTCTCAATCCCTCTCGCTTCCAAGCCCAGGACCCGCCAAAGGCTCCGAATTTCAAACGCGTTGATTGAGCCCGATGGCGGGAAGCTGGTCGAGCTCTTCGTCGAGGAGTCGAAGAAGGGCGAGAAGAAGAGGGAGGCCGCGTCCTTGCCCAGAATCAAGCTTTCAAGGATCGACCTTCAATGGGTTCATGTGATCAGCGAAGGCTGGTCCAGCCCTCTCCGTGGGTTCATGAGAGAATCCGAGTTCCTCCAAACGCTTCATTTCAATTCACTCCGACTGGACGACGGGTCGGTAGTGAACATGTCGGTGCCGATCGTTTTGGCCATCGACGATGCGCAGAAACGCCTGATCGGCGAGTCGACCAGGGTCGCGCTCGTCGACTCGGACAATAATCTGATCGCTATTTTGAAAGAGTAAGATGCCCTTCTTCTTATTTTCTCTCTAAAGCTTGCGAATTTTTATATTTATTTTGTGGTCTAATAAGTAAATTGCTTCTCAAGTTTATAAATAGTCCATGTAAATTTAATTAACGCCAATCCACCAAAACTTTTTTCCCCAAATTTACTGTAAATGGTCCATATGGTCCCACAATAATACTGATTGTGTCCCATATGAAAAAAGGTTGGGAAAATAGTTGGGACATTCTTTGAGTTATATGATTATGATGTGGATTTTATTGGTTGTAGACTCTTTGGCATGCTTCAGGCGTGTGCTCGTCTCTGAAAAAAAAAGAAAAAAAAGAAAAGCATCTTTAACATTTTTATTAAATAAAAAATTGAAAAGAGAAAAATTTCCTCCTGTTAGTTAGAGAGGAGAGTGAAAATAGGAAATGACCAACTATTTATCAGTTTAGCCCCTTGACTATTTTCAAAGAACAGTTGTGAAATAATTGGAAGCTTTGTTTGGAACCCCCTTCCTTCCCCATTGATACAAAATATTTTATTTTTTAATTTTATAAAGGAAACTTTCTTGTTTTATAAGAAAACAAGTCTCAGATAATTATACCATACTGGGTGTTTATTAGTATAAATGTATTGGAACTAGTTTAAACACACTGTAATATTCGATGTCGGCGTCATGTATATGATTTCTTGATGTTTGCTAGTAATGTTATAATGTAATTGTTTCTGTACTTATATGCATGTTGATATACATCCCTAAGTTGTACTTTAGCATTATTACTACCAAGACATTTGAATTCAATTTGTTATCTCTACTTTTCTTCCTATATAAGTTTGTCGTAACGTCTGATGCCTTATTATTTTGGGAAGATACTGACATGTTTTCATTGTGGTGTTTACTCAGTCTTGTTTGATAATATTGACTATTCTTTTCATGTTATATCTGATTGTTTTTCTGGATAGATACTCATACTTTTCTTTTCCCTTAACAAATTTGTTAAAACATTATACCTGCATATGTGGAATATTCCTCTGCCTTGTATTTGGATAACGATGTTTTATCAACAGGATTTTTAAGTCCTTTATGGTCATCTTCTAATATAAGCAAACTTATCTCTTGATGCCACTTAACGTCTTGTCATTTTCTTAAGGGCAATATTCAATTTAATGTCCATGATGTTTGGTCATGGATGACTGCAATGAAGAAACTGACCTCATTATATTGATGTCTTCACGCATTTTCTGGTTTATCTGTCTGCCGCTATTTACCTAACCACTTAAATTTTATCTGCTTCGGGTTGGAATTGTTACTACTAGGATTTGCCCCTTGTCTACAAAAAAATTTGCACTAGTTCATGTATTATATTCTTTTTGAATACAAGTGATAGTCTAAACTACAAGGGGGAGGGGGGTTTCTCACTCACACACACACACACACTACCAAGGTGCCATTGGGGTTTGAACCTGAGACCACTGTACTTTAAGTCAAGGCCCTTTCCACTGGACTAGATCTTGTTGGCATGTTTCTTTGTAAATCTTATCCTATGTCTTTCCAATTGCCATGGTTACTAATGCCTTCTTGTTTTATTTGTTGCCTCATAACAGTATTGAGATCTATAAGCACCATAAAGAAGAACGAATTGCCAGGACATGGGGAACAACTGCCCCTGGTTTGCCTTATGTTGATCAAGCCATAACCAATGCTGGAAACTGGCTGATTGGAGGTGACCTAGAGGTTATAGAACCTATCAAGTACCATGATGGCCTTGATCGCTTCCGATTGTCTCCTGCTGAACTCCGTGAAGAATTCACAAGGCGCAATGCTGATGCTGTATTTGCATTTCAGCTGCGAAATCCTGTTCACAACGGCCATGCTTTGCTGATGACTGACACCCGTCGTCGGCTTCTTGAGATGGGATACAAGAACCCCATTCTCTTGCTTCATCCATTGGGAGGATATACAAAGGCAGATGATGTTCCACTTAGTTGGCGAATGAAACAACATGAGAAGGTATGTATTTGGTAACTAAATCGGGCACAGTGATGCAGGAAACAAATTATCTTTTTTCATGTAGTTTGTGCATTAATTTCTTCCCACAAAATAAATATCTTCCTGTCAATAGCCCTTGAAAGGTGTTGTTCACTGATGCAGTTTCTCGACGTTTGGTGTTTTGCCTCCACCAATTGTTATCATATAGAACTTACTGTCCTTAGCCAAATGCTGATTCTTTTTTATATCATTTAATGATTCTTCAGGTTCTTGAGGATGGTGTTCTTGATCCTGAGACGACTGTGGTTTCCATATTTCCCTCTCCCATGCACTATGCTGGCCCAACTGAGGTGCAGTGGCATGCAAAGGCTAGGATTAATGCAGGGGCTAACTTTTACATCGTTGGTCGGGACCCTGCAGGGATGGGTCATCCAATTGAGAAGAGGGATCTGTATGACGCCGACCATGGGAAGAAAGTATTGAGCATGGCACCTGGACTGGAGCGTCTTAACATCCTTCCCTTCAAGGTATATATATTATTTGGCTGCAATGCTATTCGTGCATTTTCTTTGATATCTTCCTTCATCATTAATTTATTCCCTTGCAGGTTGCTGCATATGATAAATCTCAAGGTAAAATGGCATTTTTTGATCCCTCAAGGTCACAGGACTTCCTCTTCATATCGGGCACCAAGGTATGCGTTCTTTTAATGTTGTTCCCAACATGTTTCTTTACTCTTAGAGTCAGCTATGCAAAGTAGTATTTAAAGAAACACACATTGAGAGTCGTTTTGTTAAGTGCATAAATATATTTTATCTAAAACAAGCTGCAAATTACAGATGCGAACACTTGCAAGGAACAAAGAGAACCCTCCTGAAGGATTCATGTGCCCTAATGGCTGGAAGGTGCTCGTTGACTACTATGACAGTTTGGTTCCTGCGGACAACGGTAAAGTCCCAGAAGCAGTTCCAGTTTAGATGGAGCTGATGTGTAGCATATGTACTTGCCCTGTTTGAGAGAAACCTTGATAGCTAATTAGTCTCCTCTGTGTGATCAAGATTAACTTGATAGCTAATTAGTGTCCTCTGTGTGATCAAAGATTTCATAAGATTCTCTGTCCAGAATTCTAATAAAACCATGTGAGGCACTGGTGCAGAGAAATGACCTCGCCTCGACTGTAATTAGCGCCACTAATTGCATCTTGCTTCACTGCATTTGTGCATGCAGGCGCATTGTATCATAGCGTGATTGTCTTCTATAGATAATAGAAGGTAGATATTTTGCAATGTCTTTAGTTCTCAAAAATTTATCCATGATTTGCACTGGTTATAACTTAAGATGCTGAATCCATCAGCTTAAAGCATTGCTTGTAAAACTAGTGCATTTTACTTCCCCAAAAGAAAGAGCATGGACTGCATTCTGTAATTGTTTTTGTGGTGGACATCGCATAGATATTTTTTTCTACCACATTGTCATTTGAGAACCAGCCTCCCATTTGCTCCATAAGATTACATTATAAAATTCATATATTGAATGATAAACATAAGACTAGTTAATTGGGTAAAGACCACTATGATGTGATTCTCTTATCCCTCTTTGGATAGCTGAATATTGGCTTAGCAGGAACTGGTATGCACTTGAAAACCCAACTGATTGGCCAAGATATGGCTGCAATTCCAATGCATGCCCCCCATTGGCCCCAACTTAGCCTCTCTGTATCTGCAAACCTCTCCAGAAGTTCCACCATAACCACCTGAACTGCAATGGTTATTGCAATGATGACCCAAAACAACTTGTTCCTTTGACTCCCTTTGAAGACATTATTCTTCTCAATGTTCCTTGAGTTGAATTCATTGAAGACTTGCAAGAAGACAAAAGTATTGAAGATCAAGGTGTTGTTTACCCTCTCATTGACACCAAAGATTGATCTGCCCCTGAACTGCAAAATCAAGAGGACAGCTATCTGGAACAAAGCTTGAGATAAAATGTTCCTCCACATGATGCAGGTGATCACGGGCTCTGTCCGCCCAACAGGTGGCCTTTCCATGAGCTCTTTGGTGGGCTTATCTGTGGCAAGAGCCAGAGCAGCCATTGTGTCCATGATCAGATTCACCCACAGCAACTGGACTGCTGTCAAAGGCACTTCACCAGCTGAGGCAGCTGCCACAAAGTTGATCACAAGAGTAGCAACATTTATTGTGAGCTGGAATTGAACAAATTTCTGGATGTTGGCATAAACACCCCTTCCCCACCTCAAAACAGTGACCAAAGTAGCAAAGTTGTCGTCCAGAATGACAATGTCTGAACTTTCCTTTGCCACTTCAGTGCCCTGAATCCCCATTGAGAGTCCTATATCGGCTTCTTTCAGTGCCGGGGCATCATTGGTGCCATCACCAGTAACAGCAACTACATGGCCTTTCTGTTTCAAGCACTGCACCATCAGAAGTTTATCAAATGGTGAAGACCTTGCCATCACACAAATCTCATCAATCTTCTGCATTCTCTGCTCTGGTGTGTAGTTCCGAAATTCCACACCTTCTACCACTGCTTCCCTGACCATGTCCCGGTCTGCCCTGAGTATCCCACACTCAGTAGCTATAGCTTTAGCAGTGAAAACATTGTCACCAGTGATCAATTTCACCTGCACCCCGGCGAACTGGCAAGCTTCTACTGCTTCCCTCACCCCTGGCCTACATGGGTCCTTTAGACCAACCAGTCCTAATAAGATCAAGCTGCTGTCTTCGAGCTTTTCGTGTATTTTTTCAGCACTGTGCTTGTAATCTTGAACTTGTTTGTGTGCAAAAGCAATGCATCGGAGACTGCTTGCTGCCATGCCTTGAATAGTTTGCTCAAACTTCATCCTTACATCAGCAGTCAGATCTTTTGTAATACCAGAAGCATCGTAGTAACTCGAGCACATTTCTAATATCATCTCTGCAGCTCCTTTCCAATGCACATGGGTGGTATTGTCTGCCTTCCTTTTCATCAAAACCCCGCTTCTTTTCTTCTGTGAATTGAAGGCTTCAACATGTTGAATGATACATTTCTTTGTCAATCCCTCCATGTCCATGTTCAGCTCCAGAGCAGCCCATGAAAGAATGGCTTTTTCAGTAGGACTGCCTGTAAACTCAAATTCGGATGCTGAAGTAGGCCTGTAAACACTGCCCGTCGTGTTAAAAGCCACTCCTTCTAGGATTAAATCAAGAAGACAACGAGGAATTGATGAAAAAGCAGCACCATCTTCCACAGATTTTTGGCCAAGACAAAACTTTGTAACTTTCATCTGGTTGAGTGTGAGCGTGCCGGTTTTGTCTGTACAAATGGTGGTGGCACTGCCCATAGTCTCACAAGCAGAGAGCCTCCTCACCAACGCCTTCTCTGCCATCATCTTCTTCATTGAATATGCAAGAGTTAGAGTGACAGCCAATGGGAAGCCTTCTGGAATTGCAATCACAACAACAATAACTGCAATTGCTATTATGTCCAGCACAGCATTCACCACATCATCAATCCTTGTCCTGCTGCCATCGAACTTACCAATTTCGTTCTCCTTCTTTGTGGTTCCGGTGAAGTAACGAGCTAATAAGACCACAAAGACCATGAATGCAACTGTCAAACCAATCTTAGCCATCAATGGGGTTAGTTTGCTGAGCCGTTCTTGTAAAGGCGTCTGTTGATCACTGGTGTCATGATTAATCAAGCTCATCATTTGGCCCCATGTTGAGTTCATGCCAACTGAAGTGACAAGCATTTGGCCATAGCCATCAACCACCTTGGTTCCAGAAAACAAGAATGGATTGTGGCTGCAATCGACTTCCACATGGTCGCTTTCCCCTGTCATGCTTGATTCGTCTACGCGCAACGAATGTCCATATAAGAACAATCCATCAGCAGGAACTTGATCACCAATCTTCAAGAGAACAACATCTCCAACTACTATGTCGAAGTTCGAAATCTTTTGCCTTCGCCCGCCTCTCACAACATCAATCGGGATATCCTCACTGGCTTTCGACAGCTTGTCGAATTGTTTGCTCTGCCTGTAGTCACTAGAGGCAGATATAGAAACAATAAGAAAAACAGCAACAAAGATGCTTCCACCATCATACCATCCTTCTTTTAGTCCTTGCTGCTTAATGCCAAAGCCAAGTGAGAGTGCAGCGCAGCCTAAAAGGATGACAATGGTAAGATCCTTAGAAGCTTGCCACATAAAATGGAAAAGGCTTTTCGAAGGTGGCTTCTTATACGTGTTTGAACCGAATGCTTTATGTCGAAGGGCAATGTTGTCACCATCGTCAGGGACACCACGCTCAATGTCGGTTTGAAGAGCAGATGCAATGCCATCGATGCCTTCAAGCTCCCGAAGTAGGTGTAGATTTTTCTCCTTCATGAGTTCAGTGAGGCATTTGCTATCTATTTTGAACCCATTCTTCAGCTGAAAATGGGAAGTGGTGTGAACGGGAGAGTATGAAATCTTGGTATTTTTTTTCTCAGCTTCTGACGTCTTGAGCAGAGAGAGCATGGCCCTACAAAAAGAGATTGCAGCAAAAGCCTTATGCCACCTCTTTCTGGCTATGCTAAGTGTGTTTTCCCCTTCAAGTTGAACGTCAATGGAATTCAATTTTGCATTGCACATGCTAGACATGGTCAATTTCTAGAGCAGAAAGAGAGAGCAGTTACAAGGAGAAACAATGGAAAACTGAGAATGCAGATATAGGTTGTTGTGTTTCTTATATTATACTGATATAGCTGTGAAGGTACATTTGGTTCCTTATGTCATTGGCTTCTGTTCTGAAAATTGATACATTACAATTTACAACCTTTTGCAGACTGTAATAATTTTACTGCCCTTTCTACCTAATATCTCACAATTTGGTTGTGACAAAATTATGTACATAGTTTCAAAGTCATAAAACAGAACCACCTGATTATTTTATCTCATTGAGTGATGGATGAAATTCTTTAGCAAGATTCACTTAAAGAAAAACATCCATTGGAAGTTGCTGAGAAATTGCTTGAACTTGCTTTCGATGCTTGCTATAATTGATATTAGAATTTCGGATATTTGTGTTTATGTGGAGAAGGAAACTTCCATTTGATAATGAATATCTCCTGTTTATCTGTATGCATGGTGATTGGGGGAAAATGCACGTTAATGCATCAAACAACTGGGGTCCACCTTATGCTTACATTATAGTGAAAACGAAACTCAGATGCTGTCGTCCATAAAATTTGAACTCCGGACGTCCTCCAAAAATGTAGAAGCTGAATGCCACTAAATCAAATGGTCATGTCATGTATTTAAAATAGTACAAAATAAAGTGAGGATAACTAGTGAAAGCAGCCATGCTGGATGCAGGTGCAAAGATGAAAGCTATGCTCTATCATCACGAAACATATGCCTACCTTCATTTGTGGTCCACGAATCAATGCTTCAAGCTAGAGGGTGTAGCAACATTGACTTGGTAGGGCTGAGCAGTCCTCCCTCCGTTCCTCAAGATATGATACAAATTATTATTTGTTTAAAATCTTTATTTTATTGGTAAAGGATAACTACAACATTGGGTTTTATAATTAATTTGTACCCAGAGACTCCATATGTCAAGTTTTTGATGAGCTACACCGGATAAATTTGATAATATTTCATATAAAAATATACTTAAACTCAAATTTGGGGCTAAAAGGAAAACAAAAAGAAAAGCAAAAGTCCAAGAAGTAAAAATAATTTATTAAAGTTGTGTATTAAAATAGGGGAATCTAAAGATTAAATTACATGATAAACTATATGCTGAATCTACTTACATACAAAAACAATGTTGCACATACTTACATCTACACATGTATGTTGTGCAACTAAAGTTTGAATTATATTATTTCAGAATAATTAAAGAATGTAATAAGTTATCAAATAAAAAATGTAAAGTATGTACTATTATCCATCCCATTCAAAGCAATTAAAACTTATTCAACCCCTATGCATCCAGCCTGGGGGCTTCCTTCCTTCAAGATACTTTCAAATGGAGTTGTTATGTTTTTTCATCTTCAGATAGCTGAAAATGGGCTTCTCTGGAACAGGTATAGATTTGACAACCCAACCAATTGGCCAAGAAACAGCTGCAATTCCAATACATGCACCCCATTGTCCCCAATCCAACCTCTCTGTATCTGCAAACTTCTTCAGAAATTCTACCATCACCACCTGAAGCAGAATTGTCACTGCAATGATCCCCAGAAACAATTTGTTGGTGTGAATTCCCTTGAACACATTCTTCTTCTCAAGCTTCCTTGCATTGAACTCATTGAACACCTGGCACAGCACAAAAGTGTTGAAGATCAATGTGTCCTTTACCTTGTCATCCACACCAAAGATTGATTTGCCTCTGAATTGCAGGGTCAGGAGGATTGCAATCTGGTACAGTGCTTGAGGCAAGAGGTTCCTCCACATGATGTTGGTGATGAGAGGCTCAGTCCTTCCCACTGGTTTCTTCTCCATGAGTTCTTTTGTGGGCTTCTCAGTGGCAAGAGCCAGAGCACCTAGTGTGTCCATGATCAAATTCACCCACAGCAATTGAACTGCTGTTAATGGGACTTCACCTGCTGAAACTGCTGCTACAAAGTTGATCACAAGAGCTGCAACATTGACAGTGAGCTGGAATTGTATGAACTTCTGGATGTTATTGTAAACACATCTTCCCCACATCAAAACTGTGGCCACTGATGCAAAGTTGTCGTCCATGATCACAATATCTGAGCTCTCTTTGGCAACTTCTGTGCCTTGAATCCCCATAGAAAGTCCTATATCAGCTTCTTTCAACGCTGGTGCATCATTCGTGCCGTCACCTGTCACTGCAACCACATGGCCTTTCTGTTTCAAGCATTGCACCATTAGAAGCTTGTCAAATGGAGACGACCTTGCCATTACACAGATTTTGTCCACCTTCAACATTCTCTCTTCAGGCGTGTAGTTGCGAAATTGCACACCTTCTACCACTGCTCCACTGAACATGTCCTGATCAGGCTCGAGTATCCCACATTCTGTGGCTATGGCTTTTGCAGTGAAAACATTGTCACCTGTGATCATTTTGACATTTACCCCTGCATATTGACAGTCTCCAACTGCTTTCTTCACCCCGGGACGGCATGGATCTTTAAGACCAACAAGTCCTAATAGAGTCAATCCATCTTCTTTTAGTAAAGCTTTGTGTTCTTGTTCATCCACTTGTTCCACTGCTGGAATTTCTTTATGCGCAAATGCAATGCATCTGAGGCTGCTAGCTGCCATACCTTGAATAATCTGCTCAAATCTCATTTTTGCATTGTCATCCATATCTATAACAAGTCCAGAGGCATTGTAGTAACTTGTGCACATTGCTAGTATCATCTCAGCAGCTCCTTTCCAATGTGCTTGAATTGTATTGTTGTCAGCCTTCCTCTTCATCAAAACCCCGCTTCGTTTCTTCTGTGAATTGAAGGCCTCAACGTAAAGAATGCTACAACTCTTCACCACTTTCTGCATATCCATCTTCGATCCATGTACCGCCCACGAAAGAATAGCCTTCTCAGTAGGACTGCCTGAGATTTCAATTTCAGCATCCGAACAAGGCCTGTATACGCTACCAGTTGTATTCAGAGCAACCCCTTCTTGGATCAAATTAAGAACATATGGAGATATAGATGAAAGAGCTTCCTCTGCCACAGGTTCTTCACCCAACCAAAACTTAGTCACCTTCATTTCATTCATGGTGAGAGTGCCTGTTTTGTCAGTACAAATGACGGTAGCGGAGCCCATGGTCTCACAAGCAGAGAGCTTCCTCACCATTGCTTTATCAACCATCATTCTCTTCATGGAATAAGCAAGAGTCAGAGTCACAGCTAGAGGCAAGCCTTCTGGAATTGCCACCACAACAATTGTAACTGCAGCTGCCACAATCTCAACGACCGCGTTTAATATGTCATCAACTTTGGTTTTGCTGCCATTATACTCCTGATTTCCATTCTCATCCTGTGTATTTCCTGTGAAGTATCTAACTAACAGGACAAGGAGCACTAGAAAAGCAACAACCAAACCAACTTTACCAATTGATGAGGTTAGCTTGTTGAGGCGAGCTTGTAAAGGCGTCTGTTCATTCGTGTCACGGCTGATTTGGCTCATCATTTCACCCCAAGTTGTGTTCATGCCCACGGAGGATACAAGCATCCGAGCGTAGCCATCAGCCACTTTGGTGCCAGAGAACAAAAATGGATTTTGGGTTTGATTTATTCCCACATGGTCACTTTCCCCTGTCATGCTTGATTCATCTACTTGTAATGAATGGCCATCAAGAAACAACCCGTCAGCTGGAACTTGATCTCCAATCTTCAAGTAAATGACGTCCCCAACCACAATATCGAATATCGAAATCTGCTGGCGCCTGCCGCCTCTCACAGCTTCAATTTGGACATTGTCACTGACTTTTGATAACTTGTCAAACTGCCTGTTCTGCCTGTAATTACTTACAGCTGACACAGAAAGTACCAGAATGATTGCGAGAAATATGCTTCCGCCATCGATCCAGCCTTCTTTAAGGCCATGCACTTTGATCCCAAGACCAAGAGAGAGCGCAGCACATCCCAAGAGGATGATAATTGTGAGGTCTTTGAAGGCTTCCCACACAAAATGGAAGAACCCTTTTGCTGGTGGCTTCATGTATGTGTTTGAGCCAAAGGCTTCAACTCTTTTGGCAATGTCTTGAGCATCACCATTGCCAAGGATTCCATGGTCTGCATCAGTTTTGAGAGCTGATGCTATTTCTTCAACCCCTCCCAGCTCCCGGAGCTTGTTGAGGCTTTTCTCCTTCACAAGGTCAATGAGGGTGGTTTGATCAATTTCGAACTCAGTATCTGGCTTGACAGTAAGAATAGCATAAGAGGGAGAGCGAGGTATTTTGGTGTTTGTGAATTTGGGTTTGGTTACAGAAGAAAGGTTGAAGGCTCTAGAGCAGTAGATGGTTACAAAAGCAGAATGCCATTTTCTTTGGTGTTTGCTAAGAGTGCTTTTTTGAACAGCAAAAACAATGCACCCCAGTTTTGCATGCAATGTGGTAGCCATGCTGCTTAATAATAGAAAATAAAAAACTTAAGAGAATGTACTGAAACTTAAGGCAGAGAGATGAAAAGACTATTTTGACCAATAAACCAAGGAAGGAACTATTGATAAGAGAATTGTCTGGGGATAGCAATTAGTAGTATTACGCAAATTTGCTGTTGCCTTGGATCACCTTGGACGCCGCTACTCGAATTTGTAGTTCCTTGGATAAAGAGATTACGCGGAAACTGTTTGGTGACGTGAGCGTGTTCAACATGATACACACACGGCAAAGACATTTGGCTGCCCTCGTCGTCATCACACAGCTGACCATTCAACGCGGTGCATAACCTAAACTTAAGCGAGGGTGGAATTTGATTCTGTTCGTGTATCTTGTATTCAATGTGTTCCAAAATAAGTATATGTATTTAATGTGTTCAAAAACTCTTTGGTCCCGTTTGGTTTGCAAAAAGGATTTAATGGAAAATGGAAGATTTATTTCCCAAGTTTGGTAATGCTGGGAAAGTAACCAAGAAAAATCACTTTATTACGTTTTTCATGTTTGGTTTTGAAGGAATGTAAAACAAAGTTTGTCTAATTTTTCAATTATAGATAAAATAAAAAAAAGAATGCATTTAATGCTATATTGTAATTCTAAATTGTTAATGAGGACAAAATGGTCATTAAAAATGTGCATTTAACACCGACCTTAGTTTCTCATGGGAAGGGAAAATGAAACTTAGGTGGGTAGAGGGTTTCATTCCCCCCACTCCCTATTTTCCCGTGTGCCAGACAACTATTTTTCATTCTTGAATTTACCAACCATTTTATTCATTTTAC